GTGGTGGTAGTGGTGGGTGGTGGTGGTGGTTATGATTCTTTGTTGTGCTCTGGCTGCTGCTCCTGTGTCATACTTGATTATTTTGTGTTGTTTTGCGGCCGTTGCCTTCTCATCTCTCTCGGCTATTGTCATCATTAGCAAAACCACCACCAGCACATCAGTTTCACACCAGTCACCGTCATTCGTCATGCCCATCCTCATCAGCATCATCATCATCATCATCACCATTAACATCATCTCATCATCATCATCATCACCATCATCATGAGCATAAAAAAACACCGTCATCAGCAGCATCACACGCATCGGCATCATCGTCATTAGCAGCTTGTCCCCTTCAAAATGTCCGTCCTCAGTTGTCTGACCCTGCTCGTTCAACTGCTTTAATTCAAGCCCCATGTGGCCAGGCGCCTTGTCGACCTCGTCGTTGCGCACGCAGCCATCAAGGATTGCGTTGAAGCTCATGAGTGTCGGTGTAATTCCTTGGAGATTCAAGGTTTGAGCCTTGAAGTGTAGGGTCTAGGTTTTCGTTGCAGACTGAAGGGTCGAGGTCATTGCTGCGTGGTCTAATCCTGAAACCCCGAAGCACCCGAAACCAAATCCCTACACCCCACAATCCAGACCATACAACCTGGGAAGGCTTCCATGAAACCCACCCCACAAAGCAGCACAAAAGCCTCTTCGACTCGACCCAGAAAGCTACAGACTTTCCCCTGCACCGGACACGACCCAACAGCTAGCAACTTCAAGCAGCCCCGGCATCTCGGAGATGCTTCCGGCCCTGCATCTCCTATGACTTTGTCGCGTGGGCTTGCGTCTGAAGGCAATTACTTTCGCACGGGAACCGTGACAGGAGCTCTGCTGGTGTCAGCATGTACATCTTTCGTGAAGCACATACTTCTCTCGAGAGTAGCAAGAAAGCAGCCTGGATGCTGACGAGCTGATCACTGTTCCTGCCATCCTGGTCATCATCATCGTCGTCATCATTCTCATCATATTCTCCATCATCATCAACATCATGGCCATCATCGTCATGAGCAGGAGCAGCATCAGAATGATGATGGGAATGGTGATCATGACGCAGGCATACCACCATGGTCAAGATCTGCTTGACTGCTTGACCGTTTCGGCAAGGATGCTGCACCATGCGGATGTGAGTACTCGTATCACGATATTGCTAATGGCCACAATACACTTGCCCATACAATCACCACCATATTCTCTGTTCAGGATTGCTGGGGCAGTTAGGAAGTTAGGCTTGTATGTACTGGTGCTGCTAAACATCTATTAACTGAGTTGTCTTGATGTTCTCGCATGCAAGTTTAAGCTTGAGTGTTGATTCATACCTGATATCTTAAATTTAGTTCCACTGCAGACCCCACGAACACCCTTTAGTCTGTACCCTGAACGCTCCACATACTCTGACCCACAAGCTTCGACCCTAAACCCTAAACCATACGGCTCCCAAACCTCCGTCGAGTTTCCGTACACCTGCATCTCGTTGAAAGCATCCCAGACGCGGTCCATGCCTCGGCCGAGTTAGTATCGGGGCTTTGAGTACTTAGAAGGTCAGGGGGGTATAGTATACCACAACCACAAGAAGGAATCCCAAAGAATAGGAGTGGTAATTCTTGGGTTTGGAGCTTTGGGGGTTAGGCTTTACTTTTGGGATTTCGAGGTTCTGGGGTTTGGGGTTTTTCTGGATTTTGGGGTTTGGGCCCGGGGTGAGAGTGGGTATACGGAAAGTATTCACGCTTTAAAGCTAGCCTTTGAGACTTAAGGCTCCAGACTTTGAGACCAGAAGGAATCCCTCTTGCACACCTTCCTTGAAACAGCACCCTATCAAAGCACAATACACTTCAACAACACAAGGGTTTTGGGTTGAGGGCCTCTGGTTCCAGGACTTAGGGACCAGGTCTCCGCTGCCCAGCGGCGCTTCTTGCGGCTGAAGCCCTTCAGGATGGACCCGTAAATGACGGCGTTGACCTCTTGTTGTTGCGATTCCTTGTTGGGTTGTCGGAGAACCGGCAAGAATGATTTCGGCTCGGCCGGCCCCCTAAAGCCCCAAACCCTGAAGCCTACAGCGAAAAGCACCGAAACCAGAAACCCTGAAACCCCAAATCCCCGAAAACGCCCAAAGCCGTTGATCCCTAAACCCCAAAGCCCTCACGATGCAGATGGGACCTGCGACTTCGTCTCCGGATCTTCCAAGAGCCTGCAGCCGGCTACTCTTTGAAGCTTCAGGGGGCTTTGTATCCAGGATTTGTTGTCTGGGGAACAGGGCTCAGGGGGTGGTGGAATTTGTTGCTTATTTTCCCATTGTTTATATTTTTCCAGCCGCGCTGCAAGCAAGCGAGCAAGCATATTTGTCCAGCCGCGCTGCAAGCAAGCGAGCAAGCAGGCAGGCAGGCAAGGAAGGCAGGAAAGCAGGCAGGAAAGCAAGCAAGCCAGCACGCGAGCAAGCAAATCGCCAAATGAGGGGTGCGTGCGCAAGACAGTGTAAGATATATGATGAACCGGAATCGCCAAATGACGGGGCGTGTTAAAGATATATGGTCAATCCGATATGATGAACCGGAACTGCCACATGAGGGGCGCGTTTAAGATATATGAAGAACCAGAATCGCCAAATGAGGGAGCGCTTAAGATAGATGATGAACCGAAACGGACCAATGACGGGGCGCGTTTAAGATATATGAAGAACCAGAATCGCCAAATGAGGGAG